GCTGTTTCTTTCTCCTCATTGCATGACCTAAAAATTAGGTCACCATTGCATACCCATTTTCACAGGCGACAGGTAAGTAGTGGTATCACTTCTTTTATGGTTAAACCCTCTAGTTTGCCAGTCTTGGAGAGTATTATTTTAGTCTAAACTTTGGTTTAGCACCTCTAGAGTTTATCAACTTCTCCTTTCGTCATTTTTTGGATCCATTCTGTGGAGGATTCTCTGTATGTTTTGTTATCGGAAAAATAGGTTCAGGACCTATAGGTCTTGCAGATCCCCCACTGTGTGTCTGCCTTTTCATTACTCAAAATTCCTTCGTTTTCTGGTACCCAAGATATCATCAGGTTGTTCCATTTGGCCCAGGTTTTGGAGATTTTCTATGCTTCCACTGAATAATTTTGATGTGATTCTTTTTACATGCTAATGTTATAAAAGCTATTTGGCTATCCGATCGTATGAGAATTATTTTGTCAGTGTAATTCTAAGGTTTTCAAAAACATACAAGCGTTGACGGTATGTGTTTCAGCGTGAAGGATCGAAGTGTACTTCCCTATATTTTTTGGCTTGTATAGAAATCGTCTGATCTGGTTCTTTCGTTGGTTTTTTAGGCACCGTATACTATATTATCTTTTCACCTCAATACGTCTTCTCCTTTGTAGTATGTTGAGACTTTATAGGATGTTATAAAGAATAGTGGATCAAGGGGCGTCGGTTTAGTCTTTGACACGGCGCTCATCACTGTAAGGTAAAGGTCCCGGGTTCGAATCCAGCGGCCCTGCATTCGAACCCGACATACTTACAAATGGGCTTTTTTTCAAAAACACCGGCACCCTGAGGGTTTATATGACCTCTGCTGTTGCGAACCCTCGTAAAAAAAAAAAAAATTAATAGTCGATCGAAGTCACGATAGCTCAAGTGGTCAGAGCAGCGGCGTATTTAAACGAAGATCGTGGGTTCGAATCCCGCTCGTGAAACTAGGTTTTTCATTTCAACCAATACCTTATAGAAAGATTAATTATTTGAAAAAAGTTATTTGGTCAATCGGACCACGAAATGTAATGGATTTAATAAGTAAAACGAGTTTATCTTCACTAAAGCTCCCAGTGGCCATTTTGTTTGTCGCCGAGAATCGACTTCAGATTACACGACATTTGAAAAATGGCAAAAAGGAGGGAAAATTCGAAAGGAGGGTTGAAATGGGAAGTTGGTGTCCGATGGATCGAAGTCACAATAGCTCAAGAGGTTAAAGCAGCGGCGTATTTAATTAAACGAAGGTCGTGGGTTCGAATCCCGCTCGTGACACTAGCTTTTTCATTTCAACCAATACCTTATAGAAAGATTAATTAATTGAAACAAGTTATTTGGTCAATCAGCCCGCGAAATATAATGGTTTAGAGAATGTTTCCGAAATCGTGTAGTCAGTCCTCATTTCTAAGGATGGGTGTCTGATTTTATTAATTATCGTTCTGAAGTGATTATTTTCCATCCAATTTGATTTTTTGTGGAACTAAACTGAGCGTTTCCTCGCTTCGCCTTGTTTACGTATTTCCAATAGAGGTAGGTTTAGCAGTGCTTTTAGCCCTTTGGGGGGTTGTTTACATTGCCCCTGTGATACTTAGGTTTGCCAGTCTTTGTGTGCTACCTAATGTTTAGATAGTTAGTTTTTGCTGAGATTTGGTCCACCACATTTCCGAGCCAGAACCATTTGTGCCTTATCAATTATTCAAAAATCTACTTAATGTGATGTAGATGGATTTCGGCGAGGAGGATTTAATTGGAATTTAAGTTATCGGGATTTTTTAAGGTGTTGAGAGAAATTTTAAAAAAATATTCGAGGAATAAATGTAATCTAAACCCGATGGATACCTTCGTTTTATACTGTTTAAACTGTTATTTTGTACTAATGAATTTGCGCGAACTTGAACGGTCCTAATGAAATTAAACCCTTATGTAGCATGGGAAATCCATTAAATGACGGGGGGGACTTGAGGTAAAGCACCTGTTGCAGTTGTTGGACGATTGTCGTCCCCAGTGATATTTGTTCAACAATATTTGACCTTTCAAACGAACACCCACATATACTTTACAATAGCCTATATTGCTAAATTGTGTACATATATTAAAATATCTTTCACCCTAATCTTCGGCTATTTACCATCAAAGGTTTCAATTTTGATCCGTATCGTTTTTCAGGGTAAATGGTAAATGATTCCACTCTGAACCCATATCCGTAGAATAATCATTGGATTATTACAATTCGCCATAAAAATCCAATATATTATAATAATTGGATTATAAAATCGCCAATATAAAGAGGGTTATTTGCCTTTTTGAGTATACTGTTTGACAAACTGTTATATAAAATATGATTTTCATTTTTAAGAAATATTTTGACGTTTTAATCGTTAATGTAAACAAAGGTCATATGTACAATCAAAATTAAATTTAAAAAGTAGAACATTCACATGTTATTTTTTCCAGTTGTTTTAAGGTGGTAAAGTTTCCAAAAACTTTATTTTTTCGCAAAAAATTATTAATAAAGCCTATACTTAAACGAGAATAACAATAATAAATATTGTAATAAAAGTAAATAAATAATATTTAATATAATAATAACAATAATAAACAATAGTAAATATTGTAATAAAAGTAAATAAATAATATTGAATAGCAAAATGCATATATTTTTCAGAGGTTTTTTTACTTTCCTTTTAAGGGTCAACTATCAAATTTTACCGTTTTCTGCCATTTTGAAATATAAGCTAGGTTTTCAGTTTCAGAGGCTTAAAAGTTGTCATTTTTCGGAAATTTTCTCAAAATACTGTAGGTACCAAGTAACCAGAAAAGTTCGTGGTTTAAAGGGTTTAATAAATGTCATAATAAAAATTAGTTTAAAAGTATTATATTTTTGGACATAATCTCAATCGGCATCTATAACCTTTTCCCATCGAGTTACTAGCCCAGTTTTTGGGTTCTGGGATTTAAAAAATAAATTCAGCTCATTTTCGTGGCGATTATCGAACTCCCGATTGCGCATATAGTCATACATTGCTAAGGAAAGAAGAAGGTTACATGAGGCCAGGTTGAGAGATTACGTAGGGTGCGGTAGGACAACTTTATTATCACCTTTTCCTCCTTGTTGTACGAGGTTTCGCGTTATTCTAGTGAAAGATTATACCTTTTCTATTCTATGCCAGAGCATGAAATACTCGTTGCAGTTGGCTTGAGGAAATTTTTGCGGTGGTTTGTCTAGCCACTGGAAGTTTGTAGTGTTCAATGCCGTACTCCACCAACCACAAAACATCCGTTTTGGTGGTGCATATTCGGTTTTCGCCTCAATGGAACATGGTCGTTTGTTGAATGGTAGAGGTACGACCTCCTATTACTGTACTAGATCTATTTTTGGCATGTAATAGTCCGGTAAACAAATCCTTCTACTTTGTGCCTTGAAAGCAATGAAAGGCAAATGTTTAGGCAATGAAGTTAGTTATAGCTGGCCATTTTATGGGGACCCGATTTCCTGACCTACCATGACTTCCCAGGTCGATCCAAGCTAGACCGAATGGTCTTGTCGCTTACGTTGTCGAACTCCTGACATGTTTGACACGAATCAACTTCGATAGCTCCTCTCGATTCGTCGTCATTCAAGACAATAGGTCTATCAGCCCGTGGCTCGTCTTCAATCCCCTTATTCCCGAAAGACACTTTTTGAACCACTTTTGGGCAGTGCACTCACTCATTGTTTCATCCCCGAACGCAGTAAACTTTTACGGGAGTATATTGCCACTTGGACAGACAGTTTTTACCCAACACCTCCTCCTGACATCTTCACCATCGGATCTGACAACCTGCTTTCTCCTACCACTTGTCGTCCGATCTAACGTAGCACGGCCCCATGTGGTTTGACGAGAGTTTGACCATCCTCATTTTTATAGAAATGATGAATGGTGGAGTGAGTGCGGTGTTCAATTCTTTTCAAAAGTGACAATTAATTAAGGCTTTTAGTTGAGATGAAAAACAGTTAATGGCACGAGCGAGATTCGAACCCACGATCTTTGGCTAGATACGCCGCTGCTCTACCACTTTACTAAAGCTCTCCGTCACCATTTCAATTGTCGTCGAGAATCAAAACCGATTACCCGACATTTGAAAAATGGCAAAAGGAGGGAAAACTCATAAGGTGGGGTTGAGAAAGGAAGTTGATGTTCGAGTGGATCGAGGTCACGATAGCTCAATTAACTGTCATGTATTAATTGGTCAAGCGGACCACGAAAGTAGTGAATTAATCTTTTAAAAAGATAGTTCCTACTCACAGTAAGTTGTTTTCAACGACCGGATTTCGAGCTTTTACCTCATCATCTGGTTGAAAGAGTTCTACAACCACGTCTCTAGACATGAATTTTAAAAGTGAAGTTCACTTTTTTTTCAGTTTTTAAAGACCTATCTGTTTTTTATTATTGAATAAAATGCAACGCTCTTTTGTACCGGACTAAAACTAATTATATCTTCACTTACACTTTTAATAATAATGCTGTTCCTTCTAAAAATGCTACTAAAAGCCTTAGTGTTATTTTGGTGTAGCTGTTCAAATTTTGTTCTCTTCAAAGAAAAAACAGAATACGAGTTTTTGGTATTTGAGTTTATACACAACAGTGTAATCAGATTCACTCGTTTTTAAATAGATAACGTATGTTCATTTTTAATGAAAAAAATTTTATGAAGCAGGATTACAGTTATCACTTATGCCATCCATGTTTTAACTTTAAATAAATAAAATAAAATAAAAAAGCGACTACAACATATGAAATTCGAAATGCGTCATCAATTCGGGGGAAACCTTTGTTGAAATGTTTCAATATATCAATACACCCTAAAAAATCTACACTGAATAAAACATTTATTCCCTAGAATCATCTAAGCACAAAATTAGCCAAATCCTACTTTTTATCTTGTAAAAACACAAATGAAAAAAGAGGGATTTTTTTAAATTCCGTATTTTATTATGTGCAGCCCTGATTCATAAACAAGCTTTGACGAATTTGCGGACTTGGCGTCTCATTCCCCTCTTGACTGTTCAGCCGAAGATACCTCTAAGCCCAACAATCTCAGTTGGTAAGAAGTAAGTATACATTCATTTTATTACATTTTATTCAATTAGATTTATTGATAATTTTATTGGTATTATTATCATAATTTTCTACGTTGTAATCACACGGGCTCAGGAATATGACTAGTCTGATCAAGTAAACCACTGAATTACCATTTTTAATTATTTTTCACTTATAATTTTCATTTGAATAAATTTCGTCTTTTTATTGCATTTATTGTCTTCGAAGAGTACAAAGAAAGGAAAAAGAAAAGAAAAATATAGACTTGTTAAGTGCGAAGAGCATCTTACATTTTTTTAATATCTCAAATTTCGATGTTAGCAATGAAGAAAATGGTAATCGGTGGAATAAAGAATTTTCGAATCTTTTTTTTACTCTTTGTAATGACGATTTAAACCACACAAACATGAATGATAAACATTTCTCTATAAACATCACATTTTTCTAATATGATTCATCATCTACAAACCCGAATATTCTCGAGAAAAAAATCAACATAATTTTTGGTTATGCTTTATTTTAACAAAACATTAAAATCTAGATTACTTGAAGAAGAAAACAAAGTTTTGCCAATATAAATACTTCTTAAGATGAGAAAAATTAAGTGGAATTTTATTGCGAGGAAATTAAGGTTATCAGAACTTTTCTACTTTTGATAAACTATCATGGATATCAATTGAACTTTCTCGTACTAGAGGTGTAATTAGTCGAATTAAAACAGGCCTAGGTATGTATGTAGTAGAGTGAAAGTTTCAATATCTCGTTGATAATCCGCTTAAAATTGTTTGTTGATATAGGCAAAATTCTCTTAGCAAGAACTAAGATCTGATAAGCGAGAGTAAATATTAAAAAATATAAACTATAGTTCAAGGGTAGCCAGAGTTTTTTATAAATTGAAAAAAAAACGAGTTTTATTAAAACTTAATTCCTATGATTATTCGGAGATCGCGAGATGCGGTCTGGTGTGACGTAGGTTTTAGAGAAACATTTTCTTTATCGTGCCAACGTTTCGATCTTTATTAAGATCATCTTCAGAGCCTGGTACTTAACGTTGTTTTAATTTTACAAATACATGTAGGATGTGAAAAAAATGAATTGATACAATGCTAGAAAATGTTACATTAAAAAAACTTCATACAATGCTAGAAAAATTTTTATTAAAAAAATGAATTTATATAATGATAGAAAATTTTTTAGATAAAAAAATTAATTTATATAATGATAGAAAATTTTCGATTTNTTTTAGATTTAAAAAAGAATAAATTTATTTATTTATGTATTATTTTTCATTTTAATTATTTTGACTACCCACAAGCATGAAGTTGTTGAAAGAGAGCAAAATGTGACATTTGTGGGTGACAATTTCTCAAAATTTGTTTGGTCTACTAATATTGAATTTTGGGTATTTTAGTTGGCTTATTAAACTAGTAATTAATAGTCAGAGGTTTTTAAAAAAAATAGCGATTCAATAATTTCTGACGCCAAGCAATAGTTGTGACAAAATTTTACATCTTCTTTTCTACAAAAAAAAAAGTTATTTCCTTAATCCAGGGGGTGTTTTTTTAAGAATTTAATAAATTAAGAATATTTTATTACTACTGTATAAAAATAAATAAAAAATCGTTTCATTGTATTGAGCGCTATTGGAGAAAATTGAAACTGGATAAATTACAACTTTTTGGAAATGGGATTTTCTAATCGAGCTGAAATATTTCTCGTTGTCGCCTAATTTACGCCGTAAAAATTAATTCTTCTTGCAAAAGGACGTTTTGTCGTTTTATAATGTCGTTTAGGACACAGAACAATCATAATTTGAATCATTTCTGAAGATGGGAATCTCATGGGACCAGTTTCACTCTGTCGATAAATATTTGTAGTTTAACACACCGAAAGAAATTCTTTTGCTTTATTTAAAAAGACGGTGAATTGGTAATTTTGGTAACAACACAAATTTGGTTAAAATTATGCACCTTTCTTTATGCATAAAAATTTTTTCTCCGTCCCTGGGCGATTTCTATATATTGTATTTCCTATCTGTGGCGGTATATTTTTGTTTTAAAAATTGAAATAACGGATTATTTAAAATCAATGTATAATTTTGAAGAAATATGTACCAAAAGTGAGAAATGTTCTGATCTTGCTAAAATATTTCCTTTGCAGCACAATTTACGCCATAAAACTAGTTATTCATGGTGTAAAGAGTGGATTCACAAAATTTTGTTTGAAAGTTATTTTTTTAGACAGAATATGCATATGAACAAAAGTGGGATGGCATTTTGTTAGGATTTTAAGAGTTTTTTTTTACTTTTTTTGTATGATTTATGGCAGTAGGAACTTTTTTAAATAATGTTTGGAATGTGGTGAATTATTCTAGTGTAACTTTACTTGAATAACCGTACCATACTCTATTGTAGACTATCGTATTTTTAAGTATCTGTATTATGTGTCAAAAACTACTTTCCCAAATAAACTAATTTATATCGACTCGTCGCAAAAGGAATCTGTTTTTTTTTTTTTTTTTTTTTTTTTTTTTTTTTAAACTTAAATTAGGTGGCAATATATAAGATTCGGGCTTGATCAGAAAATCGTTTCTTATTCCTAAAAGTTGTTCGGATTAGAAATTACATTTTCTCTTTTAATTGTAGCATGTGTATCATGCTACATTATTTGACGAAGGAAATGAAACTGGTTCCGAGAACCTCCGAGCTTTAAAAAAGCTTAAAAATAATTGTTTGAAAGTTGCGAATTAAGCGTTAGTTGCACAATTAGCCATCCTGCACCGATTTTTGATGAAAATCTTCAATTAAAATTTTTTCTCCTCATTCAGGGAATTATTTATCCACTCCCTATTGCAATAAGAATGGTTTTAATGGCGTAACAACGGGAAAAAATCGAGCTCGATCAGAAAAGCTCTTCCTATGAAAGTTTTATCACTTTCTTTTCTTCAAAACTGTTCAACATTTTGAAACGGTTGTTTTCACTTTGTAAATAACAACAACGATAGCGAACAACGTTTTTTGTTTATAGTTTCACTACCCAGGAGGGAAGAATTTCTTTTGTATAAAAAGGAAAAAATTGTAACTTCTGTCACAATTTTAGGCTGTTGCCAATTATTAAAGTTTCTTTAATTTTAATAACCCCCTCATACAAATTCGTTCTATATTAAGAGAAAGTTTACAATAAAAGACTGGTTGTAATTGACGAAATTGTTTTTGAAAATATTATACAGAAAAATGGTAACAATTTTTGGCCTATTTTTAAAGAACTAAAGCATTGCGAAAATTGCTGATAAACGAAACAATTTTAAAGATTAATCAGAAATCATCGATTACGTTGATAAAGAAATACGTATCAAAATTAAAGTCCATTCAGTGGTGTTTTTTCTCAAATTTCAGGGCACTTTTGTCCAAATCTTTTTATCATAAGGAAAAGATCTTTTTTTTATCATTTTGTTGAGTAATAGTAAGCAAACAACCGTAGCGAGTGGTTGATACGAGAAACTTTAAGAAACAAAGGAATAAATTCTTTGAATAAAAAATGTATAATATTTCGGCACTATTTTAGGTTTTTGACAAGTATTAAAGTTTCTTTAATTTTAAAAACCTCTAGGTACCAATTTATGCTATACGAAGAAGTAACTAATAAAAGATTGCTTGTAATTGATCAAAAAATTTTTGAGAAAATTCTCCCGCCCCCCTAAAAAGGCAAATTTTTAAGTCTCTGTTTAAACAATTAAACGTCATCGCAGAAATTGTTCAAAAATGGCACAATTTTAAAAGTTGACTCTTAAACATAAAGTACAGACGCTTTTGAAAGAGAAATGCGTATCAAAATTAAAATCCATCTATTAACATTGGTGATTTAATGACAATTAAAAACCACTTCCGAAAGAAGGTCGCTACTCCCAATAAGTAAGTCAGTATATTGCCGGTGTAGAACATAGGATTAGAAAAAGGAAGAATCAAGGGGGATTTTAAATGTATTTTATAAACGATTAATGATTTGAAGTCACTATATCAGTTGACAACCCGTTTCACGAAAATCCTTTTTAAAAAATCAATATTTGTTACGGCTGTGTTCATAAAATTCAGTCCATCATTTGGCCAGATATGGAATGAAATATGCTTTGAATGATAAAACCCAGAAAAAAAACATCTTTTGTTCAAATAGAATATTTTTCGGCCCTTATGTCAAAATTGTTTTCATATCAAAAAGTGATCAATTCTTTCTTACCTTATATGAAAAAAATAAAAATAAATGTCATTATAGAAATTTCTAAAAAATGGCACAGTTTTAAAGTTTGATCCTTAAACGTAAATTACAGACCCTTTTAAAAGAGAAAGAAAGATCACCATATCAGTTGACAACCCGATTCACGAAAATCATTTTTAAAAAATTCAATATTTGTTCCGGCTGAGTTCATAAAATTCGGTCGATCATTTGGCCAGATAAGGAATGAAATATGTTTCGAATGATAAAGCATAGAAAAAAAAACACCTTTTGTTGAAATAGAATATTTTTCGACCCTTATCTCAGAGTTATTTTCATATCCAAACATGATCTATTCTTTCTTATCTCTTATGAAAAAAAAAAAAATAAATGTCATTGTAGAAATTTCTAAAAAATAGCGCAATTTTAAAGTTTGATTTTTAAAAATAAAGTACAAACTCTGTTGAAAGAGAAATGCGTATCAATATTATAATGCATCTAGCAAAAGTAGTGTTTAAAATAAGAAAACAATTGAAAAACGACGTCCGAAAAATGGTCGCTACTCCCGATATGTAAGTCAGTATATCACCAGTGTAGAACATAGGATTACAAAAAACGGAGATTCCAGACGGATTTTAAATATATTTTATGAACGGTTAATGATTTGAAGTCACCATATCAGTTGACAACCCGTTCCACGAAAATCTTTAAAAAATAAAATCAATATTTGTTACGGCAGTATTCATAAAATCCGTTTTATCATTTAGCCAGATATGGAATGAAATATGTTTAGAATGATAAA